AGGTGCTTTAGACCACTGAGCCATCTCTCCAGCCCATATGTGTGCTTTTGTACATTTTTTTTTTAAATGTATTTAGTAGTATCTACAGGATCTCACTATGTAGATCAGACTCAGTGATCCTCCTGTTATCAGCCTCCTGCGTGCAGGGATTACAGGTGCATGTCACCACACCCAGTCTCTGTACAGTTTTTTTTATTTTTTTAAAATTTTATTTATTTATTTATGTGTGTGTGTGTGTGTGGCCAGCTCAGCCCACCAGGGGGCGGGGCCGGCTGGCATGTGGTGCTGGGGGATTGAACCGTGGTCCCTGCGCTTTGCGAAGCTTGTTCCAAGTAGGTGCTTTAGACCACTGAGCCATCTCACCAGCCCCCTCTGTACAGTTTTTAAAAAACATAATTTTGAAAATTTTATATTAAAACATGATGTAACACAATTTGTGGTATAGGCCCTCCTTTATATTTAGGGGTAGATCTGTTAGATTTGCTCTACCATTTAAGAGAGTCTCAAATGCAGAATTTCTCAGTCAGAGATCATAAATTTCTAATCTATGGATCAACTTAATGCCAGCAAAAATGCATGTAAATTTTACTTTTTTTTTTTTTTTTTGGTGAAACTGGGGATTGAACTCAGGTCCTTGCGCTTGCCAGGGAAGCGCTTATTCCACTGAGCCATCTCCCCGGCTGCATGTAAATTTTAATTATTTTAAGTTTGCTTTTCTGATTAGATGAATTTTTTTTTTCTGATTTTTGATTGTTTTGTGGGATTTTGTTTTGTTCAGTTGTTTGTTTATTGTCTTTTTGAGACAGGGTCTTATTATGCAACTCAGGCTGGTCTCGAACTCTTTATATAGTCCAGGCTGGCCTCAAATTCCTGACATTCTCCTGCCTCAAACTGAGTGCTGATTGCAGGGATTACCACACCTGGCTTTGTTTGATTCTTTGTGAAATACCTTGTGTTCATGAATACAGTAGCATTTTAGTATACTCTGATCTGACAGTAAAGGGGAACTTTTCTCTAACAGTTAAGCAGATGACCAACAGTGGCATATTTGAGAAGAAATGGAGAAGATAGGAGTACTACCAAAAATTAAACCATGGCTTTAGTAACAGACTGATAGCATAAGTAGCTGGGAATTAGAATTTTTCAGAAGCTGATTAAAGCAAGTTTATCAGAAACCACAAATTAAATGGTAAAGAGAAGATTGTTGGATTTAAATTTTTTTCTTATGTAGTATGAACTACATTGTCAGTGGATAATATTTATTCAAACTAAAATGAATATCTTAGTAGGTCAGGAATCATCTAAGGTTAGTAGATTGCATATATTATTAAGGATAGGGCCAGGGAGATGGCTCAGTGGAATAAGCGCTTCCCTGGCAAGCGCAAGGACCTGAGTTCAATCCCTGGTTCTGCAAAAAAAAAAAAAAAAAAAAGGATAGTACAATGGATTATATCACATGGAATTTTAACTTGTATAATAATTAATTCGTAGTTTAAATTTAAAATATAAATAATAGATTACTGCAGCAAATGTTAAAAATATTCTAGTCAATAGTACAAGTTTTTGGCCAAGTGTGGTGGTACCTGCCTGTAATACCAGCACTCATTCAGGAGGCTGAGGCAGGAGGATTGTTGCAAGTTGAAGATCAGCCTACAAAGTAAGCTCAAGCAAGGCCTGACTGCATAGTGAGCCCCTGTCTCAAAAAGACTACCCTCTTGGGCTGGTGAGATGGCTCAGTGGTCTAAAGCGCCTACTTAGAACAAGCTTAGCAAAGCACAGGGACCGCGGTTCAATCCCCCAGCACCACATGCCAGCCAGCCCCGCCCCCTGGTGGGCTGAGCTGGCCACACACACACACACACACACACACACAATAAATAAAATAAATAAATTAATTAATTAAAAAAAAAGACTACCCCGATAAAAAAAAATAAAATCTATAGTTTTAAGACTTTTTTATGTTTTGAAACAAGCATTTGTAGTGCAGGCTGGCCTTGAATCATTGTGATCTTCATGCCTCAGCCTCCCAAATGCTAAGATTATAGGTATGAGCTATGATGCCTAGTTTAAAAAATTTTTTTATAGGTGGAGGGGTCATGTTTGCCAAACAGGGATGTCTAATTGTTTTCTGATAAAACACTTGTGCAATTTGGTACAATTTTAGACTTTTTAAAGGTAAATGGGAAATTCTATTAGATTTTAGGGAAAATGGGAAATTATATTCATTTGGTTTCCTGCTGTGAATATCAAGAATACTAACTTGGTAATTGTTTTGTGTGTTGGTTAGAGAGTATATTTGTACATTTTTCAGAAGATCTGCATAGTACAAATTTGAATCAGAATTTTTTAGAAAAATGGTGAGGCAGCTACAGTGTTGTATATAAGCCAAGATGAGGAGTGGTACATGGGTCACTCCTCCCTGTGGGCAGGCATTGGTTCTGATGTCACATATGGTTAGGCATCTCCTACCATATGTTTTCCCCTTACTAGATAGTTCTTGGAATGACCATTGCCTTAGCAACACTAACTCCGGTATAGCATGTTACTGTTTGCTTAGTAAACATCTGATTTGTTATTCAGTGCCCTAACCAGCTCAGCTGCTTTAATCCCCATCATCATGACCCTACTCTACTTTCCCTCTACCAGGTTTTCTCTTGAATGAGAAATGTTAAAGAACCTGTTTCCCAAATCTTTTTTTTTCTTGTGGAACCGGGGATTGAACTCAGGCCCTTGCGCTTGCCAGGGAAGCGCTTATTCCACTGAGCCATCTCCCCTGCCCCCCTCACATCTTTCCAGAAAGATTTCATGAAACTCTTTTCCTGGGGCTGGAGAGATGGCTCAGTGGTCTAAAGCACCTACTTAGAACAAGCTTAGCAAAGCACAGGGACTGCGGTTCAATCTCCCAACACCACGTGCCAGCCAGCCCCGCCCCCTGGTGGGCTGAGCTGCCCCCCCCCACACAAATAAATAAAATTTAAAAAAAAACTTACTATGTATAAAGGAAACTGGATCCAACATACTAGCCCCCCATATAAGTTTCTCCTCAAAGACTCATATCTGCTGCCCATTGGCCTACTTTGACTATCATTTTCTGTATATTGAAAATGAGGATGAAGTTTCATATAGTCACAGGACATGAACTTTGTTCTCCAGTGAGGCCTTGCTTAGTGTTCCAGGGCACTGAGAAATGATGTGCTTCTGCTCTCCCAGAGCCTTAGTACAACCAGTAGCCTGTACCTGGAATTGGTGGGGATAAGCCTGACCCTGCAGAGAGCTGGACATCTGCCTTCCAAGCGGTGGAGTCACTGAGGAAATCATTAGCTTCCCAGGCATTGCCTCTGCCTCAGGCTATGCAGGCTGCCATAGGGTAACAGGCTGAATGGTCAAGTACTTCAGCTTGCAGGGCAGTGTGTAAGAGGTGGCGATAGTGCACTCATGCCCTGGAGAGTGTGTCAAAGATCATCTCCAGAACCCTACCTCTGTCTATAGTTCTCTTGGTATTACAGGGGTATGTTTCATCCTTGATGATAAAATGTTAGTGTTGATTGGAATTGGCTTTAGACAGCCACTTTTTCTTTCCCATTCCCAAAATGGTGCAAGGTCAAAAGAAATTACGGAAAAAAAAAAAAAAAGAAATTACGGGGCAGAAACTTTTACATGGGTGCTCTTGATACAGTGCTTGGAGGCAGCCAACCTTGGGCCCTCTGGCTCTTTGGGGTTTGAAATACAACTTCTGCCTACTTTTTATTTTTTTAGACAGGGTTTTACTGTGTAGTACAGACTGACCTTGATCTTGCTTATGTAGCCCAGTCTGGCCTTGAACTCACAGTGATTCTCCTAGCTTCAGCCTCCTGAGTCCTGGGATTACAGAGGAGTGCCACTTGTGTCTGGCCCTGCCCACTTTTGAAAGAGTAATTCTATTTGCTTTCTACAGAAGCTTGTATATATGGGCCACACTTCTGTCCAGAAGCTGTACCCAACTCATACCTCCTCTCTAGTCCCCCACCCCAGTTTCCCTGCACCTTGACAGTGTTCAGATTATGCCCCACAGCCACCAGGCCCATGCTGCCAAAGCCTGTGAGTTCTTGAACAGGTTGATGGGCCTCTGCTTGTCTGCCATAGTCAGTCATGAGTGGTCCTTTCAGTTATGTTTGGTTGCTCTACCTTTAGTCTCTAGTGCTAGTGTCATTTAAACATATCTTACCTCTTAACCTGACAGATGATTTTTTAAAAACCTGTATTTATGAATAGCTAATACTATTAAATTCAATACAGTAATTTTCCTCCAGCCTTGAAACAGGATGTTAAAACAGCATTTCCCCACATAAGCACAAGTTAAAGTACTGTAGTTGCGTATCTTGCCCTCATCCCAGTTTATCTATTTAAAGGCCTTTCTGTGTGAAAATCATTATTATTATTATTTTTAGAAAATTAGAATCATACCTTTAAAAATGCTCATACTACATTGTTACATATGTGGGTCACTTTTTTTAGTTTTAGAAGGTACTAAAATTTTTATTAATGGCAGGGGTTTGGTATTCCCAACTTGAGGCTGTGTGCATTTGGGCAAGTTAAATTTGAGCTTTATTTTTGTGGAAAGAGGGCAATACTTGTAACTCCTATAGTATTAACAGGTATTAAATAAGATAAATGCATGTCAAGCTTTAACACATAGTAAATGATACTTTAAAATTTGTTAGTGATATGTTAGTTCAAATTTATTATCTTTGTTTTTTTTTTTTTTTTTTTCCCGGAACCAGGGATTGAACTCAGGCCCTTGCACTTGCTTGCCAGGGAAGCGCTTATTCTACTGAGCTATCTCCCTGGCCCCATCTTTGTTAATACTTGAAACCTTACCAACAAGATCCATGAAATATTTCCAGTGGCACGTAGTGGAAACATGAAAGTTGGTACACACTCTCCTAGTTGTAGCAGGGTAATACAAATGGAAGCAGTTAGCAACACACTTTCATAGCTCATTTCTTTCTTTTTTTTTTCAGTGCCCGTATGTCTCCCACCAACATCTTACCAGCCTCTGCAGAGTAAGTAATAAACCTACAGAAGACAGCATTTTAGTTTTTGAGTTGCAAGTTTTTAGTGTTGCCCAGGCTGGTCTCAAACTCCTGCTGGGCTCTGCTGCTGGGTAGCTAGGACTTAGAAGGATGGGGCACCATACTCCATGGAGACAGATTTTGAAAAACAAAGTAAAATTTACTAGGTCTGGGGCGGCGAGATAGCTTAGTGGACTAAGTGCCTGCTTAAGCAAGCACAGGAACTGGGATTCAATCCATGGCCCTACATGCTGTACTGGCCCTGCCCCTGGGTACCTGCCTTAGAGACTGGGAGTAGTGGTGCACGCCTATAATCCCAGTGCTAAGGAGGCTGAAAACAGGAGTATTACTACCAGTAATAAATACATTAAAAAAGCAAATACACAAATACATAAAAAAAGTTACTGAGTCTTAAAGATTTTTTTTTTTTAATTTTATGTATTGCAGTGGGAGCAAATGAAGTATTTGCACATATTGTAAACAATAAAGATGAACTTTTTTCAGATGATTTTTTTGTTTGTTTATTTGTTTTGTATTTTAGGGAAGAGTCTACAGGGTGTTCGGGCTCTCACTACTAGATGGGACTTGCCTGTTTACAGCCTCCTAAGAGTTGGGATTAGAGGCGTGTTTACAGCCTTTCAAGAGCTGGGATTGAACCCCCAGCCCCTGGGCCTGCTTGCAGGTGCTTTAATCTGCTGAGCTATTTGGCCAGCCCTGGCTTCTGTATTGTGATTACTGAATTACTATTGTGAGGAGTGAATGAGAATGATTTTTTTCATTCAAATAATAATAGGGAAATTATGGTTGATTTGTGTTTAGGCAAACTTGAAAATGTAAGCCAGTATCATGTATTTTCTTTTATAGTTTACTCATTTGTATGCTATGATAATGTGTTTTACGTGTCATAAATTTTTTTTTTTTTTTAACTTTGTTATTGGTTATATAGGTTAATGAATTTTGTTTTGGCAGGTTTGTGCATCACCCCTGCCTGCCCCTGTGGTTGTGTGTTTTTTTGGGGGGATTAAACGTATGTAATAGGTTTTGCTCATCTCTTTCCCCTGTCCCAGGTTTTTAACATTTTAGGTTTATGTGGCCAAATGCCCAATAGTTTGACTGCTCTCATGAATGTGTTGTATTTTGTAGTGCTTTAGAAAGAACTATTAGAGTGGCTGTGGAACAGCACCTTTTCGATCTGCAGAGCAACATAGATCATGATCTTAAGAATTTAGAGCAGCAAAGCATGGTGTGTAATAATGAAGCAGGAAGTATTAGTTGTGATGAAGAAAGACCTAATAATCAGTAAGTAATACTTTATAATTTTTTATTGAGTTATATAGTAGTTTATTATCTTAAAAGTTTTTTTCTTAAATAATAGTCTCATCCTATTTGGGGATTTCTGAAAGTCAGTGTAAAAATGACACATTTGTATGTATTTGTGTATAAATTGTACACACTAAGTTAACATTGAAATTCTCCTAACTAGTCCATAAAGTATTTCTATTAAGTCCAACATAGCCAGGTTTTCCTCCCTGAACACTGGATGAAATGATAAGCTTACCCTTTTTTTTTTTTTTTGACAACCAGGGATTGAACTCAGCCCCTTGCGTTTGCCAGGCAAGCACGTATTTCACTGAGCCATCTCCCCAGCCCCTCATAAGCTTATCTTTAAAGGACTGTGTTGTTTGAAAAATAAGACTCAATCTTTGCAAGAGGTGACCACATTAAGAGGCAAGCAGTGGTCTCAACAGAGGTATAGGGACAGCAGATTGATAGGCCTTGTGCTTGTAGTTGTGTGAAATGGTAGACAGAATCATCCTTTGCAGTTTATCTTTTGCTTCCAGCCTTTCCCCTCCTTACTTTTTGGTAGTACTGGGGATCAAAACATATGTTTTTGGGCCAGGGATGTACAAATTTACAGCAGCAAAGTGGCCTGGCGCCTGCCTGGCAAGCACAAGGCCCTGGGTTCATTTCCTACTACCAAAAAGAAAAAAAAAGAAATCTAGGTTTTTGCAATAAGCTATATCTCCAAGCCATCAGCCCACCCCTTTTTTGAGACAGAGTCTTATTACTAAGTTACTAAATTGACCAGACTTGAGCTCCAGCTTAATGATCCTCATGCTTCAGCCTCCTAGAGTGCTGGAATTATAGGCATATGTCACCATGCCTATTTTCTTTCTTTTTTTTAAATTTATGTGTGTGTGTGTGTGTGTGTGTGTGTGTGTGTGTGTGTGTCCAGCTCAGCCCTCCAGGGGGCGGGGCTGGCTGGCATGTGGTGCTGGGGGATTGAACCGCGCGTGCGGTCCCTGTGCTTTGCTAAGCTTGTTCTAAGTAGGTGCTTTAGATCACTGAGCCATCTCACCAGCCCCACCATGCTTATTTTCTATGTATGATTTTGTTAGATTAGCTGTTGATTATTATTATTATTATTATTATTATTATTATTATTATTTGTATTTTAGTAAGGGCCTACAGAGTCTCAGTACGCAGATTGGACTC